TTCACCAGCGCATGTGGATGGAGGCGTTGACTGAGAGATGATGTGAGTTCCTTTGGAGAAAGTGTGTCCCTCTCATCTCTCTTCTTCTCCCTTCCTGTCTCTCCTCCTCCTTCTCCTCCTCTTCCTCTTTCCGCCACTCATCCAGCAGCTGTTCCTCTGTCCTCTTGCTTATCCTGTCTGTGTTGATGCACCCCTTCATCACCCTCCCTTTTTTATGCTCTACCATCTTATTCATGTTTTGTTAACGTATACTGACGGATGTGTGTTAGGAAAGAGAACAAAATATAGAGCTGGTGTGTGTGCGCTTGAGTGTGTGTGTGTGTTAGAGGTTCAAAAAAGGATTGAGGGTTTGGTTTTGTGGATTGAGTTTAGTTAAGTGTGACTAAAAGGCACATGTGGCCATAACAGCTAGAGAAAATCAGCAGCAGAGACTGCTGAAGTATCTACATGTGCAAACTGAAAAAATGTTGTTGTTTTTTTTTTTGTTCACATACATCGTCATCATTTCACCTCACATGATTATTATAGCCCTTGAGTCTTAAAATTTTAAGAGCCTCCCATTTTTGACCCCTTACATGAATCATTTTCAGGTGAGATCATCCTTTTTTATGAATGGAGGGTTATGACGGTGATGGATTTGCAGAGTAAATACTTTACAGTGTATGGACTGTGAATGTAGGGAAGAGAAGGACTGACCAGAACAAATAAAAGATAGGATGAAGAGGGAGAGGGAGCAGTGTGTATGGGCTCCATGCCTGGGTTGATGGCATAAAAACACTAATATTAGGATTGTAATGTGTGTGCTGACGTGCTTGCATTAAGTCCCTGCAAAGGACTTCTCTCTCTCTCTCTCTCTCTCTCTCTCTCTCACACACACAGACACACACACACTCACTCACTCACTCACTCACTCACCCACCCTCTCCCTCTTCTTCCAAATTACCTTGTCTTTCTCTCTAACCTTCTTAAGCCACCCCATCCTTCCCTCTCCCCCTGCTCTTCCTCTCTTCTCCTCTCCTCCTCACTTTTCTTTCTCTCCTCTTCCTGTGTCGCAGTCACACCAAAACCATCTCCCTCTCTGTCTCTCTTGCGCTCTCTCCCTTTTCCTCTCTCTCTATGCCATTCTTCCTCCCACTGTCTTAAGTATGAAGGGGCTGGGAGTGCTTGGCCCTCTCCCTTTCACTCCTTCCATCTCTCTCTCCTCCTCATCCTCCTCTCCTCCACTGCCTCCTCCTCCCCGTCCTCTCTCTCGGCTTGCACTTGCTGCTGTCTGGCTGGAAGACGAGAAGGAGC